GGGGGAAGTGGGGGGCAGGATGGTCTCAGTGCAGAGCCCTGGGGTGGGGCTGGGACGTGGGACCCCAGCAGCCAATTAGGGTCTCCTTGCTTCGAGCTGGGGGTGCAGGTTTCTCTCCTGTCTTCCAATCTCCTACTCGGCCCACCTCACCCGCCTGGATCAAGGATCGGGAGAACCCAGTGGAGCTGCGCCTGTCAGGCTCGGGACCCGCGGAGCTGGGGGAGCTGAGCGCCGGGGAGGACGAAGAAGAGGATTCGGAGCCGGTGCCCAAGCCACTGCTTCGTTTCGGCGGCCGCCGGAGCTCCAGTGAGAGGCCGGCCTGGGGAGCTGGGGGACGGCCTCGGGGGCTATTTCCAGGTTCCTCCTCCCGCCAGCTGTGCTCACACTCCAGTTCCCGGCCTCCCACAGGTCGCTGCCCCGAAGGAACAGAGCAGAACCGCGTGCGAAACAAACTGAAGCGGCTCATCGCTAAGAGACCGCCCTTGCAAAGCCTGCAGGAGCGGGGTCTGCTCCGAGGTGAGGGGGGCAGGCCAGCGGGCGCCTTTCTCCTTCGTGTCTCCAGGAGTGTCTTTATGTTCCTGATCTGGGCATCAGCCCATTTCGTGGATGAGAAAACGTCAGTGAGGCTCCGAGTAGAATTTCTCTTCGGAGATGTTGCTTTTCCCACTCCTGCTGACTTTTGGGAGGTGGGTGTACCTGCTTGTATAGGCCTAGAACAGGCAGCCAGGAGGGCCAGCCCAACTTTGGAGTGAAGGCCTGTGCTGAACAGAGCTTCCCTGAGCGGCACTGCCACCTCATCCTGTGTCTCCCCAGACCAGGTGTTCGGCTGCCAGTTGGAATCCCTGTGCCAGCGGGAAGGAGACACTGTGCCCAGCTTTGTGCGGCGCTGCGTTGCTGCTGTAGATAAGAGAGGTGATTTTTCCAGAGACTGCCCTTCCAGCAGGCCACGGCCTGGGATCTCTCACCTCCCTCACTCTTCCTTTAACCTTTTCCCTTCCACCCTTGGTTCCCTCGCCAGACCTCATCACACACATTAGAGCAGGAATCCTTATCTCCTTTTTCCTTGCCTCATCTCCTAGGTCTAGATGTGGATGGGATTTACCGGGTGAGCGGGAACTTGGCAGTGGTCCAGAAACTTCGCTTCCTGGTGGACAGAGGTGAGAAGGCCTGTGGGCAAGTGGTGGTACTAAGAACTTCGTGTCTCAGAGCCACAGGCGGTTCCGAGGGAGCAAGCTGGCAGGCAGGGAGGGAGGTCTTCTGGCTGGAACTGCACGTCTTAGCTCTTAATCTCTTCTCATACATGTTGCAGAGCGGGCGGTCACCTCCGATGGGAGGTACGTGTTCCCAGAGCAACCAGGACAAGGTACTTACATGAAAGGCCCCTTAGACCCTTAAAAATCCCCCACATCCTACTGTCTCCTATGATTCCCCATGTCCTGCTCCTGGAAGGATTGTCCCCATCCCTACCTCTGCTATCCTACCCTACTGTAGACACCGCAGGCCAAGCATGTCAAACTCAAAGGCTAACACGGGCCAAGTAAATGAGACATGCGGCCCGTGGGCCGACAGTTTAACATGCTTGCCCTAGGCTTTCCTATGTCTGCCTCAGTTGGATCTTCTCCCAAACTCCTGATCCCTCAGTCTCTGGGTCCCTCTGGCCCTTCATGAGCTCTGAACCCTTCTATACCTCCTTCTTCTTCCAGAAGGCCAGTTAGATTTCGACAGTGCTGAGTGGGATGACATTCACGTGGTCACTGGAGCCCTGAAGCTTTTTCTCCGGGAGCTACCCCAGCCTCTGGTACCCCCACTGCTGCTGCCCCACTTTCGTGCTGCTCTTGGTAAGGGAGCTTTGGGCAATACCAAAAGTAGTTCTCTTACACTCATCTGTCTCATTCTGAACACAGAGACAGAAAATAACTTTCAACACATGTGCCAACCCCAGTTGTTGTTGGTTTGGTTTTTTTTTTTTTTTTGTTTTGTTTTTTTTGTTTGTGTGTGTGTGTGTGTGTGTGTGTGTGTGTGTGTGTGTGTGTTTAGAGTGCTGAGTTGAAAAGATTTCTAAGGCTGCAGTTGGGCTCAGAGAAAAGGGAAGCTGCTATGCATAAATGATGTCTTCCATGGGCCTGGGAAAGGGTAATAAGTTACCCACCCTGCACTAGCACCTTCCCTAAGTTCACCCCCATGCCCTTCCCATGACTCTTTCTCTATAGAGCTCTCGGAATCAGAACAGCGCCTCTCTCAAATAAGAGAACTAATAGCCTCAATGCCGAAGCCCAACCATGACACTCTGTACCACCTCCTGGAGCATTTATGCAGGTCGGGAAAACTGAACATCTTGTTCACTCAGGGAGAGGGTGGGGTGGGGCATGCAGCAGGGACTTTGTTCGAATGGGGTGAAGGTAGGGAAATACCCAAGTTTAGAACAGATGGATGAAACAGGCAACTTTTGTGCAGGGGTCATACTATGAGGGTGAAAACCTTTGGTCAGCATCAAATGGGGGAAATGGGGACCAAGATAAGCACAGTGATGCTGTGTGAGAAGGAAGGGAAATCTAACCTCTCCCTTCCCGCTGCTCCTTGCTTCCCATTGGAACAGTGGTGATGGCATATTTGGCTGAGTGGGGCCTGGGCAGTGACTTCTGAGAGAGGATAGCCATTTGAATTAAAGCCCCCCAAATTGTGAGCAGAGAGGACTCTAGGGGCAGTCTCTGATGCTGGGAAGGGGTGGTTGTATCCTGGCTTCTATCTTCAAGTTGTAGCTTGAAGGTTTCCCCACTGGTCCTATCTCATCCCCCTTGAGGCTCTCTCTCCTTGGTTTCCTTTGGCCACTACATGGAGGGATCCCAGAGTGAACTCTTCCCTGCTCAAATCTTTGAAGGGTTAGGTTTCTTTGAAGTGGCAAAGCTGCCTTCTTATAGCCCGTTCTCTTGGCCTTTGCCCACAGGGTGATAGCACACTCAGATAAGAACCGCATGACCCCCCACAATCTGGGAATTGTGTTTGGACCAACCCTGTTTCGGCCGGAGCAGGAGACATCTGACCCAGCAGCCCATGCTTTCTACCCTGGGCAGCTAGTCCAGTTGATGCTCACAGACTTCACCAGCCTCTTCTCCTGACGGGGGCACGGAAGAAGAGAAAATGTGTTTCCAGTGGTACCCTTTGGTGTTGTGGTGTGTTCTGAGGACATCCCTTTAAATCCCGTGTCTCCCAGATGACTGTCTACATCTTTGTGAGTCTGACCTGAGGGGTTGGGGATGTGGTGAGATAGCTTCTCTAAAGAGGAAAGTGGGAATTAACCCCTGCTTCTCCTCTTGGTCACTGTCATCACCCCTCCTCAAGATAATAGCACATAAAGCAGGGTTTTTTCTGATGCAGTTCCTTTATTAAGAAACAGTGTCATTATCAAATTCCTCCCCCAAATATATACAGATTTTATACAACCCCTAACCCCTACTCTTATCCCTGGGGCATCCCAGGGGGCTATGGCTCCTTCTCCTGACTTCTCTGCGGGGATGGACACCCCTAGGAAATGTGGATCTGTGATGGGTGGGATTCCACACTTTAGGCACTAGAATTGAGGAATTGTGTCTCACCAGGCAGGGACCCCAGTAAGACACTCATGCTGCCCACAGCCATGTTGGGGGCTCCTGAGGGAGGTGCAGTGTGTTCAGAGCTGTTCCCCTGCTCATGGGAAGGGGGAGGACTCAGCCCCTGAGCCTCATCCAGAATAGCCACAAAGTCCAGCTGAGTGTTGTCAAGATCAAGAGAGTCCAGGGGGTTACACACCTGTCCTTCAGGAGGAGGGTATAAAGCAGGGCCCCCTCCCAACCTGCCCACCTCAGGGTGCCCACAGCTGGGGTTGGTGCCCCCTGCCTTTAGGGGCCCATAGCAAGTGGGCAATGGGGGCAGAAGTCGGGGTGGTGCTGCTGCTCTATGGGAAGCTTTAGTTCCCCCCACTGCAAAGTTTTCATGGCATGGAGAGTGGGTAGAATAGGAGCCTGACTTGTGATTGGGCAAGTTAGGAGGAAAACCAGGTCCATATGTGGCCATGGGGGCCTTGGCAGGGCTTGGGCTAACCTGGGACCCTCCCAGAAACTTGGGACTCTGGTAGAGAGGTTGCTGGACTGGGGGATCTCCCCTGCCCCCACCCTCCCACAGCAGCTCCTGTTGAGACTGAACATAATTACACACAAGCTGAGCCTTGAGCTGGCCTGTGGAATGAGTGGGATGATCAAAATCTGGGCCAGGCCTGGATTCTGAAGGAAGATAATCAGGGGGTGGCTGGGGATAGGGGCCTGATGGCGGATACTGGGGAGGGGGAGGCTGGGGGTAGTGGGAGAACAGAGGCTGTGGGCATGGAGGCCCCTCATTGGGGTGGACATTGAGGCAGGGTGCCGGTCCTGTGGAGTCAGAACCCATTGGACACCCCTGTTCCGGCTTGACTTGCACATGTCCGTAATGTTCAAGACGAGGACACTGGCTGTAGGCTCCAGCTGGAGGCTTGGTGCCTGGGTACAGCCCAGAGTGGGCAGGGAACTCACCCCATGTTTCTGGGGTGGGGTCAGGATAGGAGACCTGCTGGGGACAGGGGTTGTTGTTGTAGTTGGTGGGTGGACCAGGTCCAAGAGGCAGGGAGCCTGGACCTCTAGCTCCATAAGGCTCAGTGACTGTTCCCTCAGGTCCCCTGTAACCCAGAGGATCAGCAGGTGGGAAGTCCATATAGGGGTTCAGGCCACTGTCCATCATGGAGGTCCCAACCTCTGGCTCCTCCCGTAGCCCTCTGGTATCCACAGCGACATTCTCAGTGATGCTGGGGGGCTGTGGTGAGTAGACAGAGGTCGGGAGTTGGGGATCAAAGTTCCGTCCTCCCCCTGCCACGGTAGGGTATGTGTGAACACAACCCAAGCTCTTGAAGCGCTGGACCCTGGCTGGGGCCGGGTGGTCAGCAGCCCGGGCTGGGTCACTGGCCCTCCGGGTGACCCCTGCATTGGGGTTGTATCCAGGATACTCAGCTCGGCTTCTCCAGGGAGGTCCAGGGAGACCCCCCATCCGATCTAGGCTGGATGCTGCAGCGGGTGGGGTACCACCTCCTCTGGCTGAAGCATATCTTGTCCGGAACAGGTAGTGCTGGGCAGGTGTGAGGCCAGGCAGAGAGGATGCCCCGTTCTCTGGCGGGGAGCCAGGGGGGAAAGGAGAGGCCAGGGAGGAGCGGCGGCTGACAGTGTAGGCTGAGCTGACGCTGCTGGAGCTGCTGCTGCGGCGGTCAAGAGAAACTGGGGGGCCCAGACGGCGGGACACAGGAGTGCCTGCAAGTATAGGGAGAAAAGGCAGGGTGGTCAGGAAGCCCCTGAATCTCACCTGCCTGCCCCATGGGACAGCCTTGTGCTGGAATCCTGGGGAAAGGCTCCTTAACTCTAGCCACTCAGTTCTGTCTCCCCTGCCTCCCATGCCCCTTCTAGAATCTTCTGTGTCACCAGGGGTTCCAGGCTGCTGTGAACAGTTGTACAGGTTGTACCTGGTACACTGCACAGTTCTAGGGGACAGCATTCACCTCCCAGACTGTGTATATCACAGCAATTTTCTGATGGAAGGAAAGTGTCTTAAGCAAGAGGGAGCTTTGTTCTAGGGTACAAAGCTTCTATACTGAAGCTCTGAAGGGTGAAGTCCTCCCTCCAACCTTAAGGGAGGTCCAGATCTCAGCCCGGCAACCACCCACTCCACCCAGGTCTCACCAGTGTGGGTCAAGCTGGGCAGTTTGAGGCCCCGGGGACCCATTGGCCGGAGTTGATGTAGCTGGTCCAGCCTGAGGTTCTCAAGGCGGCGAAGAGTGGACAGACCGGTGCCAGCAATGCAAGGCCCCTCGTCCAAGCTGGACAGGTCCTCAGTGCTGCCCCCTGTGTTTCCAGTCATTTCCACGCCACTGTCTGTGTTCGCCGCGCTGCCTGCTGGGGAGTGGTCACTGCTGCAGGACGACTGGGCCCCAGGACTTGGCTGTGGCTTCTGTGGGGAAGATGAGGGCTGAGGGTGGCACCCTCCCCCCTTTCCCTGAAGTTGGGGAGTGGCTGCAAGCCTGTGTCCCAGTGGCTGCTCGAGGGGAGGCTTACAGGTGTAGAGAGGGCTGAGCAGGGGGGGGACGGGGCAAAGTAGGAGAGATGTGGATGAGCAGAGCCGAGGCTGGAGCACGGATCGCCTGGGCTCAAATTCATCCTCTTAGTTCTATGACCTTGGGAAATTTCTCTATGCCTGAATTTCCTCATCTGAAATGGGGAAAATAAGTTCCTTTCTCTTGAAGTTGTTGTGAGGCGTACACGATATTATACAGGTAAAGGGCTTGGAATAATTACACTAAAATCCCTAGGTTTGGGCTAGTCCAAGGAGCCACACGGGGACACCTAGAGGACTGGCCAAGGAAGAGTGAGAGGATGGGGTGGGCGAGTTGGGACAATGTCAGCAAGGTGGTGTGAGGGGGGTATGGAGGCGGAGGCCTGTCCGGGCGTCTCACCATGGCACCCTCTGGCACAGTCAGTCTACTCTCCTCCCTGACAGGGCCGCCATCCCGCTCCCTCTTGGGCTCCACTGTGGAAAGGGATGGTGCCCGAGGCAGGGGGCCGTCCCCTCGGTGCCGCTTGGTCACGTGTGCGTCAGGGCCGTGCACCGTCTTGACATGTTTCCGGAGCGAGCTGGGATCCGTGTAGCGTTTGGTGCAGCCAGGGAGCTTACACACATATGGCTTCTGTTGAGTGGAAAATGAAGACAGCAGACAAAGGTGTGAAAGTGGAAGAATGCAGAAGGAATGCAAAAAAATTGGTGGCATCAAGTGAGGACGAGGGGCGAGGGGTTATGCACAGCACTCAAGGAAGGACGAAGAGTGGGGCCCATGGAGCAAAAAAATGAGAGGATGGGGCAGAGATCAGGAAAACTGACAGCCCGGGCCTGGGAAAGGTGAAGGGTGAACCCAGGTCTGTGAAGCCTCATAAACTCAAGGGCTGAAGGGATCAGGGGTCTCCTTTAGTTAGGATGCGTCTTTTTCAAATCAGCCCTTTGGCTGGTTAGAAGTGGGGGGTAGGGTGGTGAGAGGAAATTCTTGGTTTCAGAAAGGCCTTCTCCGGGTGAATTACACAGGTGGGGAGAGCTCACCTCTGTGGAGTGGGTGCTGGGCTGAGGGATTTCTTAGGGGGGAATCTCCCCGATAGGTGGCTTCTCAAGTGGGGCAGGTCTCTTGGGTGGGGCACTCACCTCGTTGGAGTGGGTCCGATTCTGGTGCTTGGCCCGGTCACTGGCGTTGCTGAAGGCTTTACTGCAGCCCTCGTGCTCACACATGTATGGCTTCTCACCCGTGTGCGACCGCAGGTGTGTCTTCAGATTTTCGAGGCGTGAGTATGACTTCCGGCACCCCTCAAACTGGGGGATAGAAGGGTCAAAGGATAGCGCTCAGACAGAAGGACATGGGATTAGAGGAACCCTGAAACTCAAATGGGACATACGTCAGAGACTATAATTTAAGATGGGAGAGCCCTGGGGCTCAGGAGAATCCCCATCATGAGGGGAAGAGGGCAGACAAAAGCTGGGGCAGCAAGTAGCTGGAGGCACTCTGCCTGCAGGGACATGGAGCTGAGGCCAGAGCATCTCCAGGTCAAGCCGGGGCAGGTCTCCCTGCATGGGGATCTTGCACTGTTTCGGGTGGGGTGGGGTGATCTGGGAGTGTCTTCTGTCCTCCACGAAGGGCTTCCCCGTTAGGCAGAGTGGTAGCACATTGCCTAGGGCCCACAGTGCTTTCAAGGTTCCCACAGAATTGTCTTAATTTCTTGGAGAAGCAAGGGGAAATTAGCTTTTAAATCCAAGAAAGTGTTCCAGTATATAATATCAATATGTTTATCGTCATACCAACAGTCGTGAAACACACATTTTTAATATCTGTTTATGGAGGAAGGGGGCCACGTAGGCAGCCCCAATTAAAGGAGGACCCTGAGCTTGGGGAGAGGGCGCCTCACCGTGCACTTGTGTGGCTTCTCGCCCGTGTGTCTGCGCATGTGGACCACCAGCATGTACTGGGCTTTGAAGGGCCTCAGCTCCCTGGAGCAGCCCCCCCAGTGGCACACGAACTCCTTCCGCTCCCCATGGATGTGCTCGCTGTTGATGTGCTGAGGGAGGAGGTGCAGAGGCTCTCTGAGGTTGTCGTATGCCTAGAGACCCAGACCTCCTTCCCTTGACC